ACTACAACTATAAGAAATAAATACTTAAAAAGGTAGAATTAATTTCAATAATATTTCATTTAACTCAATGTATCTGAAATATTATTTCAATTATTATTTTAAAAAGCATCAATGAGGGGGCTAGGGTCGTGGCTTAGCAGTAGGACACTCACCTATCACGGGCGGGGCGCGGGGTTCGATCCTCAGCACCACATAAAAATAAATAAGTAAAATAAAGATACGGTGTCCAACTACAACTAAAAAATAAAAATTTTTAAAAAAGCATCAATGAGATAGGAAATGTTCTAGCGCCTTGTGCACTCGAGGTGGGCACTCTACCAACCGAGCTGTGTCCCCAGCCCTATTGTGTCATTTCTTGAGTGGGTATCTGCTCATGGTTTGTTTTCCCCACTTTTTAAAGGAATTGTGGTAAAGTGCACATAACATAAACTTTATTATCTTGCCCATTTTTAATTGCACAGTCGTAATTAGAAGAGGGAATCCAGAGTCTCCTAGGGTGGGCGGTGCTAAGATGTCAGATCCTTTCCCCTTGTTTGGTCTGTGGTGGGGACTTTCCTTCCTGGTACAGCTCGCTGCCATTTCCCCCCTTCGGCTAATCCGCCCTCTACTCTCCCTAAAGACCAAAGAGAAAAAAAGAAAAGAAAAATGAATAATAAAGTAGGCCTATGAAGAGGCCCGAGTTGAAAGTAAAGAGAAATCCGGCCAGGGCCACGGTGTGGAAGATGCTGTGGGCACGGGCAGCACCCCAGGGGTGGAGAGTCCTTGAACCCCAGGTTGGCGGGGAGGGGAGCCTTGGAGATCAGAAGGGATGGGGCCAGGAGGGTGATGGAGGCTTCCAGATTGATCTCCTACCAGAGGGGAGAGAGGATGCATTTTGACTGTGGATGTTGGTTTGGGACCCTGGTGTTGAGGATCAAGGGTTACAGTAATGTTACCTTTTTTTCAGGTTCTTTTTTTTAAAAAAAAGAAAGGAGAAGAACTGCAGTTTTAAGAGAGAGAGAGAGAGAGAGAATTTTTTAATGTTTATTTTTTAGTTTTCGGCGGACACAACATCTTTGTTTGTATGTGGTGCCGAGGATCGAACCCGGGCCACACGCATGCCAGGCGAGCGCTCCGCTTGAGCCACATCCCTAGCCCTTTTCAGGTTCTTTTATCAATTTTATTTTGTCATTTCTTGAGCATGCTTTTTGCTTTTTCACTTTTCAAAGAAATTATGGTAAGATATACATCACATAATCTGTATCGTCTTGACCATTTTTCCTTTTTGAAGCATATGGTTCAGTGTTACTGGATACGTCCATAATGTAGCATAGCCATTCATTCCATAAGACATTTTTTTTAATCCAGGGGTACTTTACCACTGAGCTATATCCCCAGCTGTTTTTATTTTTTATTTAGAGACAGGATCTCACTAAGTTGCCTAGGGAGGGCATCCATAAGTTGCTGAGGCTGGCCTTGAACTCACAATTCTCCTGCCTCAGCCTCTGGAGCTGCTGGAATTACAGACATGTATCACACTATGCCTTGGCCACTCCACCTCCTTCCCTCTCCCCCAGGCCCGTAACCATTATAGTACTTCATGTTTCTGAGTTGGACACCTTTAAGGACTTCCCGTCCGTGGAATCATACAGTATTTGTCTTTTTGTGAGTGGTTTATTTCATCCCACTTCATGTCCTCAGGGTACATCCATGCTGCAGGGTGTGACAGAATTTTCTTTCCTTTTTTTTTAAAATTATTTATTTTTTAGGTGTAGACGGACACAACACCATGCCTTTAGTTTTATGTGGTGCTGAGGATCGAACCTGGGCCCCGCCTATGCTAGGCGAGCGCTCTGCCGCTGAGCCTCAATCTCAGCCCCTTTTTTTTTTCCTTTTAAAAGCTGAATAATATTCCATCATGTGCACCGTGGCCTTCCTTACTGGTACATTCTGTATCTGTAGATCCAACCAACCAAAGACAGAAAACATCTGGAAAAATAATTGCATCTGTGCTGAACATGGACAGAATTTTCTCCTGTCTTTATTCCCTAAACAAATATGCATAGCAACTATTTACATAGTATTTACATTGTTTTGGGTATTATAAGAAATCTAGAGGACTGGGGATGTGGAGCAAGCAGTAGCGTGCTCGCCTGGCATGCGTGTGGCCCGGGTTCGATCCTCAGCACCACATACAAACAAAGATGTTGTGTCCGCCGAAAATTAAAAAATAAATATTTAAAAAATTCTCTCTCTCTCTCTCTCTCTCTGTCTCTTTAAAAAAAATAAATCTAGAAATGATTTAAATCATACAGGAGGTGTGTGCATACTATGTGCCAATACTATACATAAAGGACTTGAGCATTCACAGATTTTGATCTCTGAGGAGGGTCCTGGAACAAATCCCCTGAGAATGTCAAGGGTGTACTGCATATACCACATTGTGTTTGTCCATTTATCCATCCATGGACACTTGGGTTGCTTCCACACTTTAGCTACTGTGAATAATGCTGCCATGAAGGTGGATGTATGTCTTAGTTCACTTTCTGTTGCTGTAACTGAATACCACAGACTGGGTACTATTTATAAAGAAGAAAGGTTTTTCCAGCTCATGGTTGTAGAGGCTGGGAGATAAAAGGGCCACATATAATAAAGGTTTTCTCTTTGGTGGGGACTCTCTCGAGTCCCAAAGTAGTGCAGGAAAGCATCACATGTGAGACAGAAGGTCCTAGATTAGGTCTCTCCTCTCATAAAGCCAGTCCCACCGCCCTGATGGCCTCATTTAACCTCATAACCTCCCAGAGGTCCCACCTCCATACACCACAGTCGGACGGAGTTTTCACCATCTTAATGCTCCGCGATGGAGATTAAATTTCAATGTGAGTTTGGGTGACAGACACTCAAGCCAGAGCAGCACACGCACATTGATTCCTTGTTAATTAATTTGTTATCATCTGTGTGTGTTCGTGTTGTTCAAATGGGATTATTCTGCACTTCCTGCTTAGGAAAGGGCCTTCTTCAATTTTCCAATATGCCAGGAGCATTTTTCCATGAAATTAAATATTCTTCTACCTCATCTTTCTGAGCCACCAAATGGTGTTTTTATAATGGATGGGCCCGAATCTGTTCACCCCACCCCTCCCCTGGGAGCGCACGTGTTCTCCGAGTGAGTAGTTCAGCCCTCTCTGAATGCCCAGCCCTGCAGAGGCAGAGGACACGGTCTGGTGGGGCGGAGTGGCACCCAAGGCCTCCTCCTGGCACAGGACTTCACCCACGAGACGCCATCCTCGGGGAGGTGAGGAGAGCGGAGCCCTCCCTGGGCACTTCCAGGAGAGCTGGGGACCACGGTGTTGGAGACAGAGGCTGGGGGTGGCTGCGGGTCCTGCCATCTGGTAGCTCTTCAGAGGCTTCTCTGAGCCTCAGTTTCCTTTGGGGGAAATGAGGAGAATTTTGGCCCCTTGGTATTTATTTTTGAGATTGGACCAGAAAAAAAATACATGCGCAGATGTCCGATGTCCAGCATGAAGTCCTGATGGACGCATCAGATGCATATATCAAAATGGCTAAATGGTTAAGTCAGGCTGTATGTGTCACCTCGTGTGTGTGTGTGTGTGTGCGCGCACTCTGTTCTCTTTGCAGTTTTCAAGTACACAACACATTGCTACTAACAAAAGTGACCTTGCAGTACAGCAGAGCTCCTGAGCTCCTCCGGTTTTTGCTTTGGGGCGGGGGGGGGGGCTCCCTGCTGTTTTACATAATGGCCACAGTGCTGATTTAGACCCCCACCAGCCCCCACGGTGACTACTGTGTGGTGGAGTCTGCACCTGCTGACTGATGGTCCTTCTAAGACTCACGAGGTGGCATCTCACGGTGGTTCTCACTTGCAGTTCTGATGACCAGTGGTCAGCCTCTTGTCCTGTCTGTGGGTTTTCAGGTCTTCTCCTGACAAATGCTCACCCAGGTCTTCTGCCGTGTTTTAATTGGGTCTTTGTTTTCTTGCCGCCAAGCCGAGTTCCTCGTGTATTTTGGAGACTGACCCCTATCCAATGTGAACGTTGGTCTCCTCGTCGTTTTCTCTCGTTCCACGGGTTCTCTCTCCTCTGTGGGTGGTTTTCTTGGCTCTGCAGAAGCCTTTGGATCTCATGGAATTCCATTTATCTCTTGTTTTTCTTTCATGCCTGGGTTTTCAAGGTCATATCCAAAAAGATAAATCTCTGCCCGTGCCCATGTCACGGAGCGTCCCTCTTTTCCCCTAGTGGTTTCATAGTTTCGGGTCGTTTTCTGTTGACTTGGGTCGCGATAAGAGTCCGATTCCGTCCTTCTGCAGGTGGGGTCCAGTTTTCAACACTATTTACCAGGTCCTCGGCCTCTTGGCGTCCGACTGTGAATTCTGGTTAAATAAGATGGACTGAGCACATAAGCTCTGCTCCCCTCCTGACACCCCACAAACACGAAGGCAGAGGGGTTATTTTTGATACACAAAACCACAAGACTAATTGGCACAGAAGAGGAGAGAACAGACATTTGGAAGACAGAAGAGCAGACCGATGGGCTGCACCCCTAAAATACCAATGAGGAAAGCTGGAAATACCCCGACGTCTCGCCACGGACCCCACAAGAGGCTCAGCGGTCATCTTCATGGACCAGGGTGAGGACGGGGTGGTGCACGTCTGTAACGCCAGTGACTGGGGAGGCTGAGGCAGGAGGATCACAAGTTCGAGGCCAGCCTGGGCCACTTAGCAAGACCCTGTCTGAAAATACACAATAACAAGGGCCGGGAGGTAGCTCCGTGGTGGGGTGTCTCTGCGCTCAGTCCCCAGTTCTGGAAAAAGAGAGGAAGAGCCAAGGCAAGGAGACGCCAAAGGCAGACGCGCCTTCCCTTCGCGCCCTTCCTGGCTGTGTGCCCCCTTCCTGCTTCGGGGTCTGGGACAGAGGTGGGCCTGCGTGGCCTGCTCGGCTCCTGCCCTGCACCGGGCACTCCATTGGCCCCAGTGTCGGGGAGGGAAGGGGATGGACTCAGGAGTCAGCGGAAGCAGGTCTGTCCAGGACGTGGCCTGGCGTGGCGAGCTGGAGACACGTGCCAGGCCCCGGGCCGGGGTCTGGAGGCTGCTCAGAACATCGGCTCTGACCCCCACATGGGGACGGCTCTGAGCGGACAGAGGCCTCCCCGCAGCCTCGCCCCAGCCGCCCCTGCCACCTCCCCGGCCACCTCCCAGCCTGGCTCCCCGAGCTTCCCTTTCCCCGCCCAGGTAGCCGCTGCCCCTCCAGCCCTGCTCCAGGCTGGCTCCTCCTCGCCCGCGCTGGGGGAAGTGCCGAGTCCTGGCCAGCCGGATCCCCCGTGGCTCTCCACGGCACCCGGCACCCGCCCTCAGGAACTCCTGCTCCCCACCTCTGTCACGTCAAGGGCTGCGGCTGGCACCTCTCAACTGTCGAGAAGAAGCAAGCTTCCAAGGGTCAAAGGGCAGAGCTCCGATGGTGGAAGGCTAGGCCACTGGACCGGCGTCTCCTGGGCAGGGGGTAGCTCCCCCTACGGGTAATGTCCACTGTCCCAGAGGGAGAACAGGGAGAGGGGTGTCCCGGTACTATTGGCCCCCCTGGAGTCAAATGCCTTCAGCAGATGCAAGTGTCCCTAGGGGACAAGGGCCGAATTATTTTGGGGTCATGTCCTCTGCCCTGAGGGTGGCCAGATATAACAAATAAAAATACTGGACAAGACGACCAGTTAAATTTGAATTTCAGATAAGCATCAGATAACTTTGTCTCTAAAGTAAGCTCCATGCAATGTTTGGAGACACACATACACTCACAGATTTCTCATTATTTAACCAATATTCAGATTTAACTGGGTTTCCTTATGTTTGACAGCTCTGCCTGCGGCTGACCGTCCCGCACCCGGGGTCTGGCCTGTGTTAAACACTCATTGGAAGAGGCATTTGTCTCAGTTCTGAGTTAGGAGGGAAATCAGAACGCTGTGTCTCCCCAGGCCAGAGTGGACACTCTAGTTACGTCAGGTGAGTTTTAATTACCAAAATGAGACTGCTTACTTTAACCAAGAGGGACCAGAAACTCGGAGACCTGCCTGAGTCGTCAATCGGCATCCAAGAAGGGAAACCTGCCCCTCTACAGAGCCAGTCTGCAGACAAGGGGAGAAAACAAGCTGGATTCCTGTGCATTCCAACCTGTTCCCATCCATTCACTCAACAAATATTGATTGCAGCCCTGTTGAGCCCCAGGCAGGGCTCCCTAAGCCCCTGAGGTGATTACTCTCAAGCTTCTCAATGTCCTTACTTGATGAAGAGAAAAACCGAGGCACAGAGAAGTTAGGTGAGTTGCCCAAGGTGACACAGCGGGTAGATGGTGCCCACATCTGACACGGGTGCCCTCGCTCTTACCCTGCCGCGTGACTCTACGGAGGTACCAGGCAGAGAGCAGGAGGAAGTAGCCAGACGGAGCTCACACAGAGAGCCTGCAGCCCCCGCCATCGCCCCTAAGAGCTTCTCTCCTAATATCGCTGAGCCGCCTGGTCCCCCCATCCCCCCCTTCCCACCCCTGCTCGGCTTCTGGTCAGCCGTGATCTCCCGGCTGGTCCATCTCTCTGGATCATGCCTGGGAACTAGTGTTTGACCACCTCTGGTGGTTGATGGACAGGGGGCTGGGCTCAGCTGTGTGGGGCTTCGGGGGCTACAGGCATCTGGGGGCTGGTGGCACCGTCCCATGTGGCGCCCTCTCCTGGTGCTCAGTGCAGAGGCTGGCCTTTGCCGGAGTCCACCGGGCACATGCTGCAGCACCCACCTGTGGCTTCTCCATGTGCCGCGTCCTCTCAGGGCAACTGGAATCTGAGAGTGTCTCGAGAGTGAGCGTGCGGTAAGTGAGGGGCAGAAACTTCTAGCATTTCACCTGAGGGGAGACCATGTCGCATGGTGGGAGCCCGTGGCCGAGCAGAGCCACTCATCATGGCCAGGAAGCAAGAAAGCAGAAGAGGAAGAGACTGGGTCCCACAACCCTGGTGGCCCAAAGCCCTCCCGCCAGGTCCCCCTCCTCAGGGCTCCACCATGTCCCAGCAGCCAAGTCGTTAACGCAGACCACTGGGGGACACTCAGCATCCAAACTACAGCAGGACCTGAGTCACGTCTGTACCCTGGCTTCAGAAAGGTCTGGGTTTTGGGTCCTATCAGGAAGGCACTTATGAAAGATGCTGAGCAAGCCCAACTGCAATAGCCCACAATCCCGGGCCTTCTTTCCCCTAGTAATTGTTCTGCTTCCTGTGGCTGCTACAGGGCCTTTGCACATGCTGTTCCCCCTCCTGCAATCTCTACCTTCCCTCTTACCCTCTTCTTTAGGATCCCAGCAGAGTATCTTTTCTGACCTTTCTCTTTTTCTTTTTTCTTTTTCGTCCTGAGGATTGAATCCTGGGGCACTCTACCACTGAGCTACATCCCTACCACCTATTTTGTTGTTTTAAGAGATGGACACAATATCTTTACTTTATTTTATTTATTTTTATGTGGTGCTGAGGATTGAACCCAATGCCTCACGCGTGTGAGGTAAGTGCTCTATCACTGAGCTGTAAGCCCAGCCCTGACTTTTTTTTTTTTAACTTTGAGATAGAGTCTCACCAAGTTGCCCAGGCTGGCCTTGATCTTGCGATCCCCCTGCCTCAGTCTCCTAAATCACTAGGATTACAGGCACGTGCCGTCACATCTGGCCACCTGGCCGTTTGTCATTATTTTACATCTCCATTCTACAGACGAGGAAGCTGGGGGCCAGAGAGGTTAAGTGATCTGCTCAAGAGCACACAGTGAGCAGTACCTCTGGGATTCGAATCCTTGTGACTGACCCCAGAGCCTGTTCCTCACGCCTTGTTCTTTAAGTTCACCTGTGTTTAAAGGCCAGGGCAGGGCATGAAGCTGCCCTGAAAATAAACACCACATCAAAACCTGTGGGCAAGCCTCCCAAACTCAGAATGATGGGAAGTGCAGGGGGAAGGGCCCAGGCGAGGCTGCACGCTGGGCCAGGCGCTGGCCATGCTCTAGAACACATCAGTGGTCTGAGTGTCCCACAGCCGAGCTACAGGAGCCCCGGGGCCCTGTGTCGGGAGGTGGGGAGCCCCTGTCTTCTGGAGCGGGGGCCGGGATACAGTCTGGGGTCAGGGGACATTCTTTTCAGTGGCAAATCTGGTTCTCTGACTTAAGCAGACAGACTTTTGTAGGACAGACAGACAGCTGCTGAGGACGGGGAGCCATTCTAAGGCAGGGACTGGGGCATAATGGTCCCCCTGCCTGCCTTCCCTCCGCAGCCGGGGACCAGGGAGGGGAGCCTAGGAACCCAGGGGATCACATATGATTAAAAATTTGATTAAAAAAGTGCAATTTCGCCTCAGTTCATAAACAGTAAGTGGGCTCTCTGGCCCTCTCTAAACTAGGTCTGGGAATCCCTGGGACAGAGGATTGGGGGCCCCTCCTCCCTGGCCACCAGAGCCCAGGCCCCTTGGAATCCAGCTGATGCTCAGCAAAGGGAACGAGACCAGGGGACCTGGAGCAGCGGCCCAGTCCTGCCACTTCCTCGCTGCGTGGCCTCGGGCAGGAAACTCCTCCTCCGACCTGCTGTACTGTGCGCACAACCAGATGCTGCCTGAGAACAAAGGTCTAACTCATTTATTTTCTCTTGGCAGCAGGACCCTTGGTTCAAAAGACCCGTCCATGGTCCTGTCCTCTGGTCGGCCAGGGATGCCGGCACGGCCCTCCCACCCCTGCTGGGCCCATCTTGAGTGGACCACGGCTGAATCAGGTGACATCTGAGGACACTCGAGGCCCTGCCAGTTCAGAAGTCCGTGAGTAGTTGAGGGAACTGGAGGATTTGGAAAAGTGCGCAGACACTGTGACCAGGCCTCAGCCTGGGTCCTTGGTGGAGCGTTTTGCCAGCTCTGGACCTTGGTTTTCCCATCCAGAAAGCAAGCCTTGGCCTCGGTGGTCTCTGCCATCCCCTTCAGCTCTGAAAACCTAGGACTTTGGGGAGGCTGAGGCAGGAGGATCACAAGTTCAAGTGTGTTCAATCCTCAGCAAGTTAGCGAGGCCCTGGGCAACTTAGTGAGACCGTCTCTAAATAAAAGTAAAAACAGCTGGCGCTGGGGCTCAGTGGGAAGGTGCCCCTGGTTCAATCCCCAGGACCAAAAAAGAGAAAAAGAAAGAAAGAAAAGAAAATCTAGGACTCCTCCCTGGTAAGACCAAGGGAAAACAAGGCCCGTGGTGTGGAGAACCCGGGGGAGGGGGAGGGGGACAGCAAGGTGATTCTCCGAGGTTCCGTTTAGACACGACCCAGGGGGCAACTCAGGGACTGGGTCTGGTGAAAGGTAATGAGCCTCCGAATCAGAAATCAATGACCGAGGTCATAGCTATGGTTTTTGGTTTAGGAAAACAAGAAGAATCAGTAGCCGAGACTCTAACAGGTGGGACTCTGACATGTGGAATGAGTGGTGGGACACATGGGTGGGAGCCCCGGTGGCTGGAGAGATGGGTGATGGCCAGGTAGAGATGGGGAAGGACAGGGACGTTCCAGAGGGCGTTGGGTGGGCAGTGGGCACCCGTGTTTTGAGACAAACATCTGAGGAGGTGAACGAGGGTCAGTCATGGATTTGGGGTGAGCAGGCTAAGAAGGAATGGGGGGGGGCCCCGGCCAGGCAGGGAGCGCCGGCGGGAGGACGTGGGTTTGCAGCGGAGGGGCCGGGGGCGGGAGGGGGGACCTCATCATGGCCGATTTGGTTTTCTTGGCATCCACCCATTTCCCCTCCCTGCCCCACTCCCCTTCAGACCCGCTGTGACAGTATAGATGTGAGATGTCACCAAAAGCTCCCGAGAGTCTGCGAGAATGTTCTGGGGCAAACGTTTGGATCCTGAGAGCGCGGACCAAACCAGTGGACTGAGCCATTAGATGGATTAATAGTTTAAAGGCCTAACGGGGTGGTAACTGGAGGCCAGTGGGGGTGGCTGGAGGAAGTAGATGGGGGCCAGCCTCGGGGTTTATATTTGAAAGGAAAGTGACCACGACACTCGGAGTGACCAAGAGATCTTTATTGTGCCAATGTCTGATTAACAGGGAAGGAAGAGAAAAAGGGAGAGAGAAAGAGAGCAGGGAAAGAGGGGGGAGAGAGGGGGAGAGAGGGGGAGAGGGGAGAGTTTTTATAGCCAAATCTACTGGGCTCTCTGGGTCTGCAGGCCGCCTTGTTGGTGGACAGTGATTGGGTCACACAGTTGCTAAGGGTGTCATCTTCTGCCTTCAGGCAGACGGGGCAGGGGTCAGATGTGGTCAGGTGGGGGTGGCGTGGGGTCAGTGGGGTGGAGTGTTCAGCCTTGAGGCAAACAAGCCATAAGGAACCAGACGGTGAGGGTCAGTGTCCAGGCTGCCCTGCGGCTATCATTGTCCAGCCTGCTCTGCAACCAGCAGTATTCCCCCAGGCCTCTCTCTGCCTCTTCCTCCCACTCCCTCCTGGTGGCCTTGAACTGAGCAGCTTCCCTCCAACACCCTTCTGCCCTGAGCTCTGGCCCCCCTGGGGCCCAGAGCCTAGTCAGTCAACCAGGAGCCAAAGTAAACCTCTCCTCCTCCCAGTTGTTCCTGTGAGGTGTTTTGGTCACAGCAACAGAAAGCGGACTAACAGGACACCTGAGAGGGCTACAGAGAGTCTCACTGGGTGTGTGTGGCTCTGAGCTCAGATCCTCCTGCCCCAGTCTCCCCAGCCACTGGGATCACAGGGGTGTGCCACCAGCTCCCTGGAGATCTGGGATGTGGCCTCCCAGGGGCCTTCCCTGGTCCTCCCCACTGGGCAGGGTGCAAAGCCTTTCCTCACTGCTCCCAGAGCCCCCTGTGGCTGTCAGCACTGTCACCTGACCCAGTAAAGGAGCTGCTCGGTAGTAGCCTGCATGGTCCATCCAGAGAGGACGTGAGCCCGGGACTCAGTGGTCCACTGTCCCCTCCCTTATCCACCTGAAGGGCCTGAATCACCTGAAGGGCCAGGTGGGCGGACAGAGAAGTCAACATTCACGTTTATTTGAAATATTTTTAACAACAAAAATAATTATTTACTTTGTCTGACTTCCCCTCTAGACTGAAGGGGGAGCTGGATAGAGTAAGGAAAAAGAAAGAAAAGAAAATGCCTCCCCAGTCCATGCACAGTGCTAGCTGGTTCTCAACCGTCCCCATGAGTCAGGCACGACAGGGTTGGGGTCTTAGAGAACAGAGGTGGGGATGGGGCCGGTGCTGTGTGTAGCCCAGGCCAGACAGCCCTCTCTGAACAGCATTTGTACAGAACCCTGTCGGCAGAGAGGGAAGAGGGACAGGACCCGGAGGTACAGCCCTGAGGAGCAGGTGAACTTGGTGGCTTTAAGGAGCACCCAGGGCGGGGGGCTCTGGGGCAGGGGAGCTTCCAGGCGGCAGGCTCTGGGGCTGGGGGTGCCCAGCAGACAGGAGCCCAGCCCAGACGCCGGCCTCTACAGAGGCTCTTCCTGTTAAAATTGACCTTGGCTGGTTATTAACTGGGTCTATTAATAGACGCTGGTGGGCTTTTGCCTCCTCAGGAGTGACTTCGAGAAGCAGCGTCCCTCCCCTTGTTCTGCCTTGCACATGTGCAGTCCGGCTCACGGCCCCTCACCTGGTGTCACTGGCTGATGCCCCCCCCCCTGCCCACATGACTGCATGGGATCTGAGGAGAAACAGGAGGCCCTGTAGCTTGGCGTCCCCCTGCCCCGGGGAGCTTCACAGAGCTGTTCCTCTGGGCCATACCAGGCTGCAGGGACTGCTGCGTGTTCTCCAGGGAAGCAGCCCCAGGGGGGACAGAGAGAGAGCTTTAAGAGAAAATGTGTTTGACAAGTGGCCCACACGCTGGCGGAAGCCGAGGAGTCCCATTGGCCACCTGCAGGCCGGAGACCAGGTACTGATGGGGCAGGAGAAGGACGCCTCGGCTCAGGAGGCCAAGGACACACTGCACACCAGCCACCAGAGGTGGCGGCTCTCCCTCACCCAGTCAGTGACCCTGGCTGACCACCTGGGCCTGAGACTTTCTCAAGGCAGGGACCCTTCACCCTGGGGATGCAGGAGCAGACAAGGAAAGAAAAGAGGCCCAGACAAAGGAGACAGTGTGTAAGAAACCCAAAGCCAAGACGGGGAATGCCACATCCCCAGCAGAAAGACACAGAAACAGCGGCGGCCACCAAGATGCCAGTTATCCCAGCAACTCAGGAGGCTGAGATAGGAGGATCTCAAGGTCAAGGCCAGCCTCAGTAACTTAGAGAGGCCCTGTCTCAAAATTAAAAGTGAAAAGGGCTGGGGATGTGGCTCAGTGGGACAGCTCCCCTGGGTTCAGTCCCCAGTATCAGAGAGAGAAACGGAACCTGGGCCAGGCCACCAGACTCATCACAGAACCCCAGGACCCTCCCCACACCCTCTCCCCCCTGGATCCCAGCCTGGCTCTTCCTCTCCTCTGGGTGGCATTTCTGTTAGCCACTGTCCACTCTGCCCAAGGAGGTCAGGGTTGAGATTAAAGGAGGCTATGACAAACTTCTGATCAGCGCGGAGATCTCATTGGGTTTGGGGCTTCGTCTACAGGAGGGGCTCAGCCTGGAAGCCTTCCTCCAGAAGGAAGATCCAGGTCCCTCCCAGAGCAGGCTGGGGGTGTGTGCAGGCTAAGCCTGCAGCTGAGGTCAAGCTCCGCCTCGGGCCAGGTTTGGGTCTTGTCCTGAATCAGGGTTCGGCTTGCCCAAGCTCAGGGTGTGAATGGGCGCCTGAGAGAGGATGGGGCACTGCCAGGCTCTGGCTCTCCTGGGCAGGGTCCCGCTGCTCAGGCCTGGGCTCGGAGTGAGACAGAAGCCCTGTGAGGACAAAGGCAGGACCACCCTCGGCCCCAGCAGACGTTCCAGCCCTGCCGTGGTGCTGTGCTCTGACCTAACTGTCCCCTCCCGTGACCACCACATACATGCAGGCACACGGAGATCTGGGCACGAGGCGCCTGGGCACACTGGCACTGCTGGCGGCTGGTGTCTGCAGGCCCATCCTGCGCGGATCAGATGGGCCACAGGGAGATCCCTGTTCCCCTTAGGCAGCAACCAAGATGGGTGCCAAGAGGGGAGGTGGCTCTGGCTCCCACTCACTAGCCACTGTGAGCCCAAGAGCCCCAGGCCAGGGTCTTCAGAGGTCTGGACCTCTGCCAAACCTGTCTCCATCACCCACCACCAAGCCCCTGGGACTGGCACCGCCCAGTCCTCCAGAAGGACCACGACCAGAGGTGGAGGAAGCCCTGGCTGGACGCCGGGTCTGGGAGCCTTGCTTCCTCTCTCGGGGCCATTTGAAAAAATCAGAATAAAATAAGAAGGATGGGATTTGACCATTGAGAAAACTGACAGAGAGGACAGAGGCTGAGCAGGGTCACACACAGGACCAGAGCCCCGTCCTGCTGACACCAGTGCTCTTAGTTCTCTTGCCAGTTGGGGCTCATTTGTCTCAGAGGCTGAGCTGTGCACACCTAGGCAGGCTTCCAGGAGAAGGTGGCAGAAGAGGCAGGACAGACAGCCCTCTCCCATCAGGTCCTCTGGGATCATGGAGCCCAGGAGCGTTGCCAGGCAATCCTGTGCTGGTAAAGCTCTAGCTCTGGACCCAGATTCAAATCTCAGCTTCAAATCTACACCTGCTCTGTGACCTCAGGTAGGTTGCTTCACCTCTCTGAGCAAGATGCAAATGTCCAACTGCAAAAGGGAGATAATCAAGGTAATTATCTCTTAGGTGACCTTTAGGCCCAGCCCAGCCTGTCTCCCACCTCCCTCCCCTCGGTCTCCCTGCCTTTCTTTCTGCTTCCCCCACAGTCACACTCCTTCTGCTTCAGGGCTTGGGGACATGCTGTTCTCTCTGGTCTTCCCCATAGACTCACTTCCTCAGGGCATCGCAGATGCAACCAGGCCATTCTCCCTACCTTCCTTTGTGGCTAAGACGGGGGACTGAGATCGCGTGTGGACAGGGTATTGGAGGGAGCTTTTCCGTTTGTCTCAAGTTGACAACTAGGGGGCAGAGCTGGGGTGAAAAACTGCCAAGGGCCCCAAACTCTGAAAATAGGTCCCAACAGCTGGGGCCAGATGTTCCCGACCCTCCCGCCCTCCACTCCAGGAGTTTGGGGTCCTCAGGAGCGGGAAGCTGTGGATCTTCTCTCCCCTCCTCCCCAGGCCCCTCCCAGCCAGCCCAGTGGCAGCGGCCCCAGAAGACCTGGTGTTATTTTGGAGGCGGAAGGACCCGCAGGAGGGGAAGCTGGGGGATGGACCACAGAGGGGCTCAGCGGCACTGCGGGGGGCCAGGCTGCCTGTTCATCTCATGGAACAGGGGGGTGAAGTACTGACACAGGCACAAGGTCAGCCTTGAAAACATCACGCTAAGGGGAAGCGAGTCCCCAAAGACCAGGTGCTGTGTGAGCCCACCTACCTGCCTCCATCCGGACAGGCCACGGGAAGGGGCTGTGGGGAGGACGGTGTCAGGGTTCTCAGGGCTCCTGGAGGATGGGGAACACACAGTAGGAACACCAGGAAGACAGAGAGAAAGGAACAGAGCGGTACTATGAGCCA